GAGGGAACGGGTCGATTTCACTGCATGTATGTACAGAAGCAGAGGGAGCAGAGTAGATGTACCAAATATCGTACTTGTGGCATAATTCTTGTGCGAGTGAGCTGCTTAACATCTACGACATTGCTATTTCACTGGGTCCTTCACGTGATGAATGCGGAGTGACGATTGTTGTCATCCTTTGGTCTAACCTGTCGGCAGGAACAGCATTTTCTGAGATCACGGATGGGTTTCAGGCAGCAGAGTGCAGGTTAAACTCATTGAATCGTTGGCACTACCTCTGGTGTAATTGCCGAAATGTCCCATCATGTGTTCTAACTTGCCTTCAGTGAACAGAATACCGTTTCTTTTTCACGGCCTACTTTCTACGCTTCTGTGATTTCACTACTCAGCACTACATTCTCTACATTGAGCATACAATATGAGGTTGCTTGCTGCAGATCTGTCGTTATCATATCTGTGGCCAGTGGGAAAAGAAATTGGCGTGGTGCTGAATCCTGCTAAAGCCATAGCTGCACAGGGGATTCTTCAATTTCACTGCGGATATTCCGACTTGTTGTTTTCAGTTCATGGCATGCTTGTCCGGCATCGGCTTCTTTCTATAATCTACAATATTGTCTTCCATAACACTTTATAATTTCCATCATAGAAACGGCCATAAGATTTTGATTTTTTTGCCAACGTTTTGTCCAAACGAAATTCGCCCATTATGCCAACTTTAACAGCAAATAGTGACCAATGCTGTTTGGTCGAAGACCTGGCAATAAAGCAATATAAATACCACGTTCTGATTGTGTCCTTAACCGTTGAATCAGTCACTTATTTCCTTAACTATTAATTAATAGTGATAGCAGTGATAATAGTGATTTCTGTGATCATACCTAAATTATGAGTTGAGTTGGCTACATTCATTAAATTTCCGGCATGGTTTATGCATAGTTTGCGGAAGCTTTCCGACGAAAACAAGCTGACGAGCTATCGCTACCGGTTGTGCAACAGCACGTCGTGCGACGGTCGCCCTTTACGTCATTCACACAACACGTGGATGAGCACTTGAAGCCATGGTCACTCACTAGCGCGCATGAATAGACACTGCGGTCGTTTAATCAAAGGACACTTTCAGCCACTGTCTGAGTCTCGCAACGATGCTCGATGCTTGTCGATGACCCAACCTCAAGCGTTGTGATTATATAACCAGCCAGCTTCGCTGTTGGGTGTAGTATAAACATGGCTGGGCAAAATACTACGCGATTGAACAGAAGTACAGTATCGAGTCAAACGATACACAGCAATTGCCAGCCTCCTTTAATAAATGTAAGAAAGATTCGAATCATGCTACAAAATTATGTTCGATAAC